TATATGTAACCTTAACATTTGTACCCCCATAACATGCTGAAATAAAATAAATAAATCAATAAAAGTGAGTAAAGGCACTGGCACCCCAGCTTTCCTTTCTCTGGTTCACACCAGCTCAGGGCTGAACCCCAAGTCTTCCTCCACCACCTGGACTCCCAGTTCCCTAAGAGTCAGGCCAAGCCTAACCTGCCAACCCCCCAAGTGAACATGAACTAGACAAACAAGGGAAGGAGACTATGACAGGAAGACATGTAAGAGGAGGAAGAGAAGATGTGCAAATGCACTAAGGAAAACAGAAGAAAAAGGAGAATAATTACTAGTTTGGTAAATTCTGCAGAAAAATAAATCCACTTAAACTTGTCTTCCTAGTCCATTAATGCCATTCACCTGGGTTATGAGCATGTGAGCAACCTGATCACACTGTCCTCTGAAATTCTAATTAGCTGATGATCACTCAGACCTCTTGACATGTGTTTACTCACATATGTTTATTCACACGTGAAGATCTGCCTCCAAACAGCCTGGCCCCTCTGCTTGCCAGGAAGAGAACTCTCCTCTAGGTTTCAAAGGCATAGGGAGCATCAAGATGTTCCTTGCATCCACATGCAATCAGGAGAGAAGAGTTTGCCTCTGGGTACAGGACCATAACTCCACTAAGAGAGAAGCCACTGTGTAGTAAAAACAGAAAATAACTCACTGTCAAGAGTCCCTTGCATCTTCAAGGCAGCCCCCGAGGATTGCACAGAGCTGCATAAGCAAGCCCAACACAGCAGCCGGAGCAGAGCTGAAGGGCTTTGAGAGTTGTATCACATTCTCCTTTTTTTAAAAAAAACTACATCTATAAACAATTATTCTAAAATTATTAAAATTATACATAATCTTAGCCAATAAGAGCAGCAATTCTGTTTCCCTTCCCTACAAAGGGCAAAAACAAAAAAACACCAATACACAACCCCAAGGAACAGCAGAACAGGCCAGAGTGCTAGCCAGTCCCTACCTTGGAAGCCGCGAACACACTGGCATCTGACGAACTCTGAAAATAGACCAGGGCAGACCAACCCGGAAAGCAACTATATAGTCAACATCTGACCCAGCTCCGTCTCCCACGCGCTTCCAGGTCTTTATTTTCCCGTTCCTGCCTGCGCCTCGCTGGTGAAGGGCTCTGCACTGCAGACACGTGGATCGAGGGGCTGGAACCAGGACACAGGCTAAGGGGCGTTGAGCTCGAAACCTGCCTGGGAACAGAGCGCTCCCCACTGCAGGTACAGATAGGCACCCTTTCAATAAATCCAGGACTCGAGTATTACATATGAAAGCCTGAACTTCCAGTAGATCAACTAGATTTCCTCTCCTCATGTGAGGATTTGAGACAATGGATTCTTCTGGCATGTGTTTAAAGATTAACAAAAATCAGTCCATGGCATATAAAAGAAGAGCTCTGAGTTATGAGGCCACGCCCATTTGGCTGGTCTGGCCAGCGAAGCGCACACATCCCCTGTCCTAGTGGAAGCCACGCTGCCTCCTCACCAGGGCTCTGGATTTCTTCTTCCTCCAATTCTACATACTCCTCTAACCCTAAAGGGCAAGGTCATCCACGCACTACTGACTGGCCCATTCCCACCAACTGCAAACCACTACAGCTGCTGAAGGTCCATTCCCACCAAATGCAAACCACTATAGCTGTTGAAGGTCCCTTCCTGGCCTTCACCATTGATATTCCAGGGACAGACCAACTATAGCCTGTGCACCAAATAAAATTTTATTGGACCATAGCCATGCACATTCATTTACTGTCTGCACTTTGCCTCAAATAGCAGAGTTGTGCAGTTGCCACTAAGATCGTATAGCCCCCCAAGGCCTAAAATATTTACTATCTGCCCCTTTATCAAGTTTGTGGGTGCCTGATTTATTCAATACATTCGCTGAGCGTCTAGTATGAGCCACTGTGGTTTGGGCACTGTGGGGACGGCAGTGGCCAGAACAAAGTCCCTTTCTTCAGGTAGTAACGAGGGCTATGAAGAAGAAAACAGGATATGGACAGAGAATAAGGGCCACTCTATTATATGGGTGATTAAAGAAAATGGCTTTTAGGGGGATCATTTGAACAGAGAGCCAAAGGAAGGAAGGGGGTAGGCCACACAGGGAGAAGAGGCTTCCAGGCCAAGGGAATAGCATGTATCAAGGCCCTGAAGTGAGAGTGAGTTCAGTAGGTTTGAGAAAAAGCAAACAAGGTGGCTGGGCAATGTCCCTTTAATCCATGGTCACAACCCACCAGCCCTTCCCCAACCAGGACAGGCACCATCCTACGCTTTCTGTGCATGATCTCATTTAATCTTTAAATGCTATTATTCATACCCCCATTTCACAGATAAAGAAATTGAGGCTCAGGGAGCTTAAATGACTTACCCAAGGTATCAGTGCTAGTGATCGATATGGACGGAGACCCGTGGCTAGCTGTCAGGCTCTTCTGGTACTGGTTCCCAGTCCATATTCGGCAGGGAGCACCAGCACCCAGTCACAGACCAACAGCACCACGCGACTGCTGTAACCGGGCCACGCTGGACGGGGGAAGAGGCTTCACTGGGCCTGCTTCCATTTCCACTCTCCACTTTTGGACCATGTTCTCACTGAACTTCTCTACTTCCTCCACCGCTAACGTTATATAAGACTGCCTCCAAAACAAACAGCCAAGCTATGGAAATCTAATGCAAGAGAAGAAAGGAGAAAGGGAACGAACACTTGCAGAAGGCCTTCTATGAGCCAACCACAGAGGTGATAAGCACTCTGTGGACTTGACTTCTGGGAGATGACAGTTAATGAAACTATTGAAGTAGAAATAAATACACAGTATCTTCCATCTGGACGTCTGCATTCCACAATGCAGGAACTGTTGGAAGAGCCCCCACGGCAGGCACGATTTAAACTGAAGAGACAGCACACGTTCTACTGCACTGTGTTCCTCAAGATCAATTGCCATCCAATATTCTGAGCCAAGATACACAGCCACATCCTCCTCTCTGGTACCTCAGAGCGTGTCTTCCGATTACTCAACCCTCCTGCTCTCTCTCTTTTAAGAGTTCTCATCAGCCTCTCATGCTTGCCTCACAAGTGGAAAGATGGTGTCCATGGCACCACTGTTTCATCCAAACGCAGCCAGCTACCCACAGACCCCCATTGCCCCCCGGCCTGGAGCCCTCAGGCAGGTGGGACTCCTGGCGACTTATCACTACTTCCCAGGGTTCCCGAGACAGACGTTCAGATTAATTCCCCTGTGTAGCCCTAAACATAAGATACTAAGATACCTAATAACCATTCACAACAAAGTTCCGCAGCAAAAGGCACTGGAGAGCAAGGAGCATCCCTCAATAAATGCTACCTACAAAAACAGGATGGAAAAAAATGGCAAGACTGATGGAACACAACACCATGCTCAGTGGGGAAATAATGAGCATAATGCTCTGCCGATTCTTCTATGTTAGCATTTACCCGGGAAAACATAATCTCATTCTTCATTAATACATTGCTGCCCCCCCTGAATCCTAATCCCTTATCTGCGGCCCCCAACACTTAACAAAAGGCTTCACACAGTCAACATTTAGTATATGTGTCACATGAATAAACATCTACTCAGACTTGAGGGTATTATTAGATGACAGCTTCCCCCAGGGAGTTAAGAGATGCGCCGTTGAGGGGGAGTGAAAAGCCTGAAATAAAGTCAAAAGCTTCTGTATATGTGAAATGAGAGGACTAGTCAAAAAATCCCTCAGAGCAAGGACAGTAAAAATCCCAGGCACTCTCTGCCACCTATCACTAACCCTCTGTGATTGTCGCAGGCCCACGTTACTCCTCTTCTCTTTTCCTCCCAAGAATTCCTGCCCCGGGGGGTCTAGAGCTCAAGGGAAATAAACAGGAATGACTGCTGCCCCCACAACCAAAGAAAGATATGGCTAAACAAGTGAGTGTCCTCCGGGGAGGGAGAAGAAAATAGCAGATTTATCTAGAAGCATAAAATAACTTTACATTTTATGTTACATAAATGATATTTCACTAAAGATGAGAACTATGTGCCATTTCCCCCAGTGAATGAGAGTATAGGAAAGAGCAGGAAAGTCAACTCTGAGAATAATTTTTGAGAAATTAGAAATGGTTATTACACAAACACTATAAATTGCTATTAAGTGATAGCAATTTTTACTTGATAATAAAGCATACTTTGTTACTGTAGCTAAGTACAGCCAAGAAAAAAAAAAGATCTATAGGAAAATGACAATGAAGGTATTAACAATTTAAGACTTCAATAACTGATCGAAAAGAGGTAAGTTATCTACCTAAACTTTTAAAGAGTCTTATGATTCAGTCTTACGTAGTCATAATACCTCCTAACCAAAATTTAATCACTCAACAATGGTACTTAATCAAGTTATAAATAAAAGCTCAAAGAAGTTAGACGAAAGGGATCTATGAACAGCCTAAGAGTGTGATGTGGCTCACGGTGGGAAAGGCTTCATGGTAACTAAGTGTTCAGAACAATCAAAACCTGAGGAAGGAGACCAGTGTCACAGCAGTCTCAACCTGGAGGACATTACGACTGCCAACGCTGGCCTCATTAAGTACTTTTAGAATACAGACCCCCTCCACTCTTTACCCCCACCTGCTGTATCCCCTGCCCCGTACCTATCACTGAACACACTGCGCACTTTACCGTTGTGTCCCTCCACCCTTAGGGTATCAAGTAGGTGGAGATTTGGGTCTGCTTTGTTCCCTAGAGGTTAGAACAGTCCCTGGCACATAGTAGATGTGGAAGTCATTAGTGCCGAATAGACTATTTTGGATTTTCTACCTTGTGGGCACACAATAATATTTGTACTCTGTGTCCTCTTTGTGTTTGGATAAGGCCCCAAGACAAGGTCTGATCAGTGAACATAATTAAAAGTGGGCTGTCTCTCATCCACGCTAAAGCACTTACTTGTGGGGCAGACCCTCTCGAGCGCTCTTACCAGCTCTGCTCCAGCGACCGCCTGCTTCCTGTGGGAGCTGCTTGGCCAGCCTGTCCCAGGGTGAGGACAACAAGCAAAGGCCCAGCCAACCCACAACACACATAAAGCACAAGCAAGAAATAAACCTCTGTGTGCTTTAAGCCACTGAGGATGAAGGCTGCAACCCCGCTTCCTGACAGGGTAGGGGCTCAGTAAAATCTGTGGTTGACCGCGCCCGCTCTCCTCACAGAGCTCTCACAGCACGCGGAGTTCTGAGGGACCTGTTCACTCACAATGCGCCCTGTTCTAGTTTAGAACAATTCTCAGGTCCTTCCTAGTACCAAGTCAAAAGCCATGTTCTTAAAGAAAGTAAATGGCAGGACAGGGAGCAGGCAGAACTTTAAAAAAAAAAAAAAATCAGCTTCACTCCCTTCCTTCCACGTCTGCCTCAAGCAGTCCTGAAGAATTCTTTGATCAAAGGCAAGCGAGCGACTTAGAAGTTATGCTGGGAGGAGTGATCAATATGGCTTGTCTTGTAGATGGTTTTACTCAAAAGCCTCTAAAGAAGCTTATAGCTCCTTCCAGAAAAGCACAGGGCCTCAAGGATATAATCGCCCCATCAGTATGGACCCTAGACGTGAAGAGCCCAGCAGGAGAAGGCAGAAGGGATCAGTGCGCGGAGGGGTGCTAAGCCAAGAGGCCACTCTCTCCATCCTTCAGGACGGGGGATTCCACAACATGCAGACAAATTCTCTGGTACGCCACTTTCCAAGAGGTGAACCTCAATAACCCTCCCCTCGCATGTGGGCTATACTTAGTGGCTCGCTTATAAGGAACAGAACACAGCATAAATGATGACATGTGACTTCTGAGGCTTGAAAAGGTATTGTGGCTTCCTCTGTGTATTTTCTCTCTCTGATGCCTCATCTGGGAGAAGCTGTTGCCATGTCATGGGGACACTCAGAGCCCAATGGGGAGGGCCACATGCTGAGGAACTGAGGCTTCCTGATTACAGGCAGCACCAACGTGCCAGCAATGAGAGGGAGTCATCTCGGAAGTGGACCCCTCTGGTCCCAGTCAAGCCATCAGATGACTGCAGCCCTGGCTGCACCTTCCTGAATTACTTGGAGCCAGAACTACCTGGCTAAGCTGTTTTTGATTTTTTTTTTCATAGAAACAGGGGTCTTCCTATGTTGTCCTATGGGCTCAAGTGACCCTCCCACCTCAGTCTCAAGCAAGTATTTGGGACTACAGGGGCATGCCACTGTGCCCTGGGAGATAATTTCTTACCCAGCAAAAGGTAACGAATACATTGAGTGTCCTCTAGCCTGGGTATGTGCATATGTTAAATGAGTGTTGTGTTTATAGTGGACTACAAAGTGACCCATATGACTCAGATATAACTGAAGGGATGCAAACATGTTTGACCAAGTACAGTATCCCCTGGTCCTTGATTGTAGGTTTTCTCATTCATTATATTTAAGTGCACAAGAGTACATCCCTTCATTGCTACCTTGACCTTTTGAAAACAGCCTTCCATCTCTGTCACATGTGGAGACCACCTTCATTCACCTCTTTATCACTCCAACTATGATAGGCCCTTCACTTCGTCATGACTCAAAAAACTCTTGAAGAACTGCAAAACAGCAAAGAAAGGAACAGACCCTTGTATCTGAATGTGGAAGTACATTTATTTGCATTCACTCATACTCTATTTTCCACAAAAGACTTAAAGAACTTAGCAGAGCAGCTCTAGTAGGAATCACTTTCCCCAACACTGACTTGCTGTCATCTTTAGCAGCTGAACAGTTGTTGTTACCTTCCTACCCCTCCTCAGACTTGCATCTGATTCTCTGAGTAATTTACTATTTTATTAAACAGTAATTCAGTGACTGACCCAGAGCAAATACAACACCAGCTGTCTCAGCAGGCTGGGAAACACATATAAGCCAAGGAAGACACACAAAAGTACAAAACACCTTATGCTACGTGGTTGCCAAAGTGTTCGCCATCTCCTGGCATTTTGCATCTTTTGCCTCTTCTCTAGTGGGAGTGTAAGGGGTACAGGGGGATGACCATCAAGCAGTCCATGGTTTAACTTCTGTAACCATGTTTATAGTGTCACTAACCCATCCTAGGTAAGGGCAGGGTGAGAAGAAACAATGGTATGAGGGTAGGGTAGGGTAAGGTTAAAATAAGACAGAGCTAAGGTTCACAGTGGAGTCATCGCCAACAGAAAACAGGATATCTGAAAACCAGCGATGGAAATAGGAAAAATAACTTCTTGAGGTCCCCTGAACCCCATAGCTATTTGTTCCAAGATTAAATGTTGTGTATCACCTTATCTTGTAGCAATAATGGTAAACCTAACATCAGAAGCATAAAAAACAAAGGTCAGCATAGATTCCTTTTGCCTAGATAAAAAGAAAAGCGTTGTGTCACCTATGAAAGAAATGGTTTCCAATTCTTTTCCAAAAGCATTTATTGAGGACTTACTCAGTGTTATAACACTATACTAGTAGTAGGGGTTGGGGGTAGAGAGATAAATCTCAACCTAACTAGTGACTCTTACCCTTTGAGGATCTCAGAACTATCTATGAATCCCATTCCTCTCCCCAGATAAATACATATACAGGGAAAAACAAAATTTTGCCAACAATTTCAGGTTATCCATAAACCGTCAAGGTCCATGGATCCTAGGATAAATGTGTCTTGATCTACTAGGAGCAAAATATACACAGAATTTTATTCATTACATAATATGTAACATTAGATATTAGCCTATCCTCTCTTCTAAGCAGCTGAAAACAACATCTTCAATCTTATCAAATACCAAAGATCATAAAAGACAAAACACATATATTCATGTAAAAGTAACATCTATATAAAAGTAACACTAATATTTCTGGCATCACTTTTCTTGAATAATAAGCAATTAAACTAAAATGAAATTTTTGCATGAGACCTGAATTTGTAAGATCTACATTTTTAGCCTCATCCTTTTACTAAGTGTAGTTATTTTGTATGATTAATTCTGAACCTAAAACATTTTCTGTAATTTCAAGAGAGCAAGCTGAGTACTTCTCATTGGTTTCAATAGTTTAAATTTTGGCTATAATACTGGTTGAAAAAAAATCCACTTGAATTTTTCCGATTCAAAAAAAGCTCGGTTTCTCTACATAAACTGTATTTATGCTGTCAAAAAGAAAACATGAATGACAAATGAATTAGGCCCTGGGGATTTAAAAAATAAAACCCTCTCTCACAGTTTCTGCAGTGTCTTCTAGGAGACAGGCTCTCGGATACAGGGCAGAGGATATTCTTAAGGGTGAGGTGTCGAATACTAACAGGTGTCAAGTGAAAGAATGGATGAATAACTAGAACCAAAAGTGAAAGATTGATCCTGCACGGGGTGGGGAGAGTCAGAACACATCTAGAAAATAGGAGAGAAAGAAATATGAACTGATGTGTTTTCAGGCTTCTAAGAAATTCAGTTCCTCACTTGCACTAGCCTCATTTTAAGAGCTCAAAGCCACATGTGGATAATGACTACCATATTGGATATTGCAGAAGATAGATCATTTCCACCATCTAAGAAAGTGCTATTGGGCAGCACTATTCTACGAACACAGAAAACAATGAGAAACTACTTAGCTCTGGACAGAAAGTACATAGATTCAGAGACAAATCATTTGTAGCTAAGTTCTTCCATCTATAAAGGAACATAAATTGATGCAAAGGAGGTAGAAAATGGTTAAGATTAAGAATGTTAAATGCAATGGAGAAAAGGCCCACATGACACAGTACAGCTCATGATACATGGGACCACATCTGAGATTCAAGTGGCTCAGGGGCTACCAAACCTGTGGAAGGCCTGTAGATTCTTCTTCCCAGCCACCCAATCCCATTCTCTGAGTTCCTAACATCCACATATACCCTGCACAGAAGCAAACTTCTAAAATAATAAGATGGTTTAGCCATCAGGAATTCACTAGGAAAGGCGGGAAGAAAGGAGAAAGGGAGGAATGGAAATACAGATGACTTTATTTGTATGTTTAGCCCAAATTTCCATAGCCACCTATCACAGTCATGCTGTATTTAATCACAAGTATCTGAGAGAAACATGGCACATCATTTCTGTGAGACATAGTTTTGATTTTCATTCAAGTATTATCTTTTCCAGAAACTCATTTCATTACTTGCCTCCTAATTCTTTTGACTCATGACTGGAGATTAGGTCTACTCAAAAACAGGAACTTTCTGGAAAGCCTCAATTGTTCACCTGAAAAACTAAGGAACTGGACACACCACCTGAGTTTGTTTTTCTTTTAGGTTCTCTAAGGTCTATAATCTGACTTGGTGCTCAGAATTCTCTAAACACCCAAAAAAGTTTGTAATCAAGTTGGGGAGTTTTAAAAGACTCACACAGGAATAGGGGAGAATTACAAAACATACAGATAAATACAAGGTAACAGTAACAACTTCTCATAAAAAATGCAAAGGTGACATATTGCAGAGTGAGAAAAGCAATGTTTGAGCCATACTCTTTCTTAAATTTGGTTAAAAAAAAAAAAGGAAGGTGATAGCAATGCTTGGATGACAGGATTGTGTATCAGCCTATTGTCACAAAAGGGCTCATGAAGGAAATAAGCTTTTATTTGAATACTGAAAAAACTAATGGTTTTATATTATTATATATCAGTAACTTTCAAAACTATTTAATCATAAACCACACTAAGCCATGTTATTGTTCAGTAGGCATATACCACTGAAGCAAACATTTCACAAAGCAATAATTTAGACTTACTACAACATACATTTTCTGATGTCCTCTATTGTAACTTCATTTAAAAAAAAAATACAAGTCATAACCTATTAAACTATTTTTATGACCAATTCATGGGTTCTAACCAACAGGATGAAAAATACTGCTTTACAGGGTAAGAATAATGATGGTACAAATTGGTGAAAGGTCTATCTGAAGAAAGGGAACCATATTTGCAAAGGGGTGGGCATGGGCATGAATGACAAAGACAGAAGGAAACAGAGGTGTTTAATGAAAAGTCTAATATGTAAATTTCTACATTTGCCAGGCAAGAAGGAACCACTTTTTGGTGGAAAGTGAAAGTCAGGGCAGATTTGCCTGGCAGCTCTGGACAAAGTTGCCTTGGAAGTGGACTTGAGCTGGAAGCCCCAGCCATGGTGGTTGAAGCATAAAAACACAGGCATAATGAAGGGAAAACCTGGATTATGGTGGTGAGGAAAGGCCAGTGGGAGATGGTAGGGAACTGCAGCACCTTCCAATGGGAACAGAAAAACGATGCTCACATCTTCAAACAGAAGTGGGTCTTCAGAAACCAGAATACCAAAGGACACAATACCAAAGGAAAGACGGAGCTGGGGGAAGAGACAGAGCTAGCTGATTGACCCACGACACCAACTGGGCTGGTCCCGGCAGACCTACTTCTTTTCCTAACAGAGCAAGAATGGACCATGACTCACCACCTAAATGGAAAGGGGCAATCTCTATCCCCATGCCCCCACGCGGCCAGCTGCTGGGCCACCTGCAGATGGAGGATGCATCGTTCAGTGCTTCATTCAGTGAATCAAATGTTAACTACCTACCACCTACCAGGCACCACAGGTACAAAGTTCATAAAGCATTGTCCCTGCCCTGAAGAAACCACAGTCAAAACCCAGTGTCCTAAATAAATAACCACGGCACAATCTGTGCTAGGACAGGGTTGTGTCCAAAGTGTTAGAGGAACACAGAGGCTGTAGTTAGTGGTTCTTCCGGGGTCAGCAAAGCCTTCGGGGAAGAAAAGGCAATGCTACTAAGAAGAGGGGAGGGGGAGGGGAGTGAGGGATAAAAAATCTACCCATCAGGTACAATGTACAATATTCTGGTGACAGTACAACAAAACCCCTGACTTAAAATTCATCCGTGCAACAAAAAAACACTTGGACCCACTAAATCTATTGGGGAAAATAAAAGACAAGCTTCTCCGTCAGAGGCAACAGCACAGCCATAGTGGGGAAGCCTGAAAGTGTGTACTGTGTGGAAGGAATGATGAACACAGTGGGTTTAGGGGAGACAGGGTAGGAGAAGGAGCAGTGGGAAGTCGATAGTGCCAGTAAGGGAGGCTGGGACCACTTCATGCTGGGTCTTGTAAGCAGAGCTGACACGGACAAGCGGTATCTTCAGGACAATAGGCAACCAGACATTTTTAAGCCAAGCAATAGCACAAATTAGGCACGGGCTTTAGAAAGAGCACACAAGCAGTACTCTAGGTGGTGAGCTGGACAGAGGAGAGAAGGCAGGAAAGGAGGCCGGTGAGGAAGGCTGTTGAGAAACAAGAGCCTTGTGGCAGTGGCATCCACAGGAAGGGAGGCGCACATATGAGCAGTCTTTGGGCCTACCTGGAAGGAAGGTGAAGAACAGAAGGTCACAGACCCCCATGGGGTTCTTACTTGGAGGGAGCAGGGTTGGCTTGGGCTTGGGGAGGAAAGATAGGAAAATTGTTCTTAAACACATGGAACTGAGGTTGCCTTCAGGACACCCTAACGGGTTTACTAAGAAAGCAGGTGAAAATCCAGCAGAGAGGGGCAGGACAAATCAAGCAGAAGCAATCAATGTCAGAGTCACAGTAGAGAAACAATAAGAGAAATGACAGTGGAGACAAAGGAGAGGCCACCAATATTTAGGATAGCTAGATGACTATAAGCCAGAGGAAAAGACTGATTTTTCTTTATATGAAAAGTTAAAAGAGAAATAAGACAAAGTGGCTTTACAGAGCAAGATTAAACACCATAGGGAAGCTGAATAGAATGATGGACATTTTTTTGTTTTTTATATGTGTGTTTTAGAAATGAGCAGATATAACCTCACCAAGCAATAACATGAGGCTGTTAAAGGCAGAAAAATGGATAAGGTTGTCATCTCACTGGATGTTCTTGAACCTGGAATCAAGTAAACTCCCAAGAAAGGTGATGTAATTAAACTATCATGACACATTAACTAAAACACCTTGTTCTATATGCAAACGTCTGACAGATATACTCCAGTGTCTCTGCGGATAACAGCTGTTCTGATCTTTGGATATTGCTAAGCTGTACCCAATGCTACTTAATCATAAAGCATATCATAGAGAAACTGAAGCGTTAGTATGCAATTGTGCATCTCTTTGGGAGCTTCAAAATGCCTCTAAACAACAATTACTCATCTGTGCTCATGTGTGATGTTTTTCCATAAACAAAAACTCCAATAATTTTCAGAGGTGGGCTAATGCTTATTTTAAGTAATATGTATAACTAGGTCAGGCTGTTAAAGACATACTTGATTAAAGTTAAAATACCTATTAAGATTAGAATTTGTTATCTGTGTTGCCAATATCTAGAAAACTCTAAAAGTCACTATCCCATTCTAGTTCCAGTTTCTTATTTTCTAAAAGTTTTTTTAAAGTACTCTTTTCCCTTTTGGGGGGAGGGTGGTAATATGTGGGTCCACAAAGTAAAATGCCATGTTGGCAACCCAAGTCTTCTTTCATGATAATTGAATTACATAGAGGAAAAAAGGAAAGCATAAGGTATGTGCACATTCACATCATCAGCTTCCAAAATCTACATTTTACTTAGAGACTTTGAAAAATATTTGTAATTTAGGCTATCCTGATCATAACTGATTAATTTGAGGAAAATGTTCTGCCTAACTACTGCTCAGAATCCCTTAAATTACCACTGATCAGCAATCCGTCATCAGCAAATATGCTTATGTCAAATGCCCTTATAATGAGCTATCACATTTTCAAACATTTTCCTCCATTACCTAACCAGGAGATTTACACAGTGCCTACCACCTATGGAGAGAAGAGTAAATGAAATATTGGATCTTGGCTTAAATGAGCAAACTCCATTCTGAACAGTGGAGGGGGGAGGAATGTATAAATTGAGAAAAGAATTACCTATTCATCTTCATCAATAGTTGACACCATCATCATTTGGCCTCTAAAAAAAAGGGATGTTTTAATTTGCTAGGAAGAATACATCTCTTCAGGGAGGAGATTTGGGGATTTGACCATGAATAATAATGAAGTGAGCAGAGTTTTCTTCATGTGTAAAATCTAGCTCTAGTCTTTCAATCCAAATGAGATTCTAAGTTGCAGATGGAGGTCAGGGATTCGATTTAAGTATTCACGTCCGAGTAGGCATCCTTCATCTACGTCAGCCCGATCTACACTTCCTCTCACTCAAATTAACATTAAGACAAAAGAAAAAAATAAAATATTCCCATTTGTACTGGCCAGCTTGTAGCAACAACCCTAGGTTCAAAGAACAACCAGCGTTCAGGAGGCTGCTCATGGTACTGCCTAGAATGCTCCCCCTTGCAGGAAATTCAGTCCCCCACTGAGGGGGTTCTTGTCTTTACCCCAATCCTTTGGTAAACATGAGACATTCTCTGGGCATCCGCAGCTTGCAATAAATCATTCAGGCTCATGCCAAAGCGCGAACCTCAGCATTTATTAATTTTAAATAAGTTCTGATACCCATTATCAGTTATGGACAATGACAATATTTCTCTAAACCCATCATTTCTTTTGAGCACCTCAGAAAACTGAGAGAAAGCAACAATATGCCTGACCTCTTGTGGCTTCCTAATCATGATGGCTTTTCCCTGGGGGTAAATATTAAGAGGGCCCCAGAACATTATGCAAGTCAGGTAGACAGAATGAGAATCCCAGTAAAGCAGATTCAGAATAAGCAGCCCTCAATATGCAGCACTGAAGTGATGTATAAATCAATAGCGAATGATTAAAAACACTGCTCTATGAAAGGCCTGCATAGTTAATATACATTTCATTAGGAGAAAAGAATGCCATAGTCAGATCTAATGCTTGGGCATGTAGTGTAAGAGAAGCAGAACAAGCACCAACTGTTTAAATGTATAGAATTACAAGAACTAGAGATCACCAAAACCATCATTTCTTTAACAAAGCCCCTTCAAATATTTCATTTGTAATGTAAATGTCCACATCAACACATACCCCAAAGCACCCAATTTCTAAGACACTCCGTCATTTAAAACAGATACCTCCCCTTCAAAGCCTAGCAATAAAAAACTTACTATTCTTACCCAGACTGCAGCACAAAATCCATATCTAAATATCCCTAATTGTATAATCATTGCACTCACTGGAATAAAACACACTTACCTTATCTTTCCTTTTAAATGGGCCAATTAAGTGCTGCTCTGCCACTTTCCCTTTTCCAAATAGCAAATATAAGAGCTAAATATTATGTGGTTTTGCTTCAATTAACTTCCCTGAAGATATAGTATTGCGTTTGCAAAACAGAGCAGAAACTATCAAAAAGCCGATGGTACCCCAGGAACCAAACAGCATTCAACAACCCTACCCTCCCCCCTCCACCCCTCTTTAACCCTCAGTCCCTTCCACTAGGCCCAAATAGAAGGGACTAACTTTTGGGTGTCATTTCCTTAGAAAGTTATATTTACTAGTGTTAAAGAAAGCCATCAGGACTTTTATTAAGGGACATTTTACAATGCTCTTTCAAAAAAAAAATAATAATAATGTTCCTTCATCCTGTTTTCCACATTGTACTTAAAGGGAATGTGAAAGTTGGTCTCAGTAAAATTCTGCTGATAGATGTGTTGTTTGTTCCCTATTTCCGTAGACTTCTACACTAATGACTTCTTTGAGCTAAATTCTCACTTTCACTATTCCAAAGAAATCAATCTCTTAAAGCCATGGCATTCCCACCATTCCCACCCAGAAATTTCAGGTTCAAAAATTTAAGCGTAGTCATTTGAAATGCAGTGGAAACCTACCATACAAAGGACCACAGAGAAGACAATTAAAATATTCAAGATTATATTATTTATATGTCATTTAGGGGGCAAAAAGCCAGCGTTGTTTAACAGTTTTGTTCACCCTAAGCAATTTGGGGTGTGCTATTCCAAAGAACTGAGGTCCTTAAGAAGAAACGTACAGAACATCTCAACTTGGATGTATTTTAATATCTTTCTTCCTGAATTCAAATGCATCTTTATTTTTCATGGAAATTTCTATACTGTTAAAAAAAAAAAGTTTCAGCACATACCAACAGAAGAATTTTAATTTTAGCTCATTCTATATGTGAAACTGAGAAAGGTTCCACATCTCTCCCAGTGTGAATTTAAATGAGCAAAGTAGGCCAATGTCCACAATATTTTAGTTACAGGAAGAAAATAACAGTAGCCATTTATTTTAAATGTTTTCCACACTTCAGACACTCTACTTTCTACATGTTGTCTCCTTTAATCCTCATGAAACACCCAAACCAGGTACATGGTATTATCCCCCATTTTAGAACCCTGAGTCATTTAGGGTGCCCAACCCAGAGGCCCCCAAGCAAACACCAGAGCTGCAGGTAGCTTCCACACACTGCTACTCTATAAAGCGTGAGCCTAGTGGGTACCAAGAATTTAACAGTGGCTCATGACCTGAGGCAAGACCAAGTGGCCACTAGTTTTGGATAAGGGAACTGTGGACTCAAGACCGCTAAGGCCCTTCCAGTATCCAAAACTCTACCATTCTATATTCTAATGAGCACAGGTATTCTAGCAACAAAGGAATAGAGAAAGAGAGATTACAGATGCCATGACATATTCTTGTGTACACTTCTTTTAAGTGTCCCACTGTATGGCCATCAGTTGGCTCACCAAATGGTCAGCACACTATTTCCTCAAATGAATGTTTCTATAGCGCACTGAATGTGGAAACAATACTTTTGACTGCCCTCACCTTCTCTCCTCTCCAGTAAGTGAAAGCTTCTGGAAAGACAGGACCACAAAGAAACTAGAGGAGGAAGCATCCTATCTACCGGGGGATAACTTAAAGACGACTGTGCAGGTATTTTCTACACAGTGGGTCATGATCCATCAGTGGAATCAATTTAGCAAGTCAATGCCAGCATTTTAAAGAAATTGAAAATAGAAAACATCAGAGTGTACTACACATAGTAAGGTGTAAAACTGTTTTATGAAACTGTTTTAGCAACATATTCTATAATCAGTTATGTGTGTATTGGTAGCATGTCTACCAGGTTGTGATATAAAATGTATATTTTACTATAGGTTAAAAAGTTATTTGACTGTTTTCACCTTTACTCCTCACATGCAGCCACCAAGTTCTCCTGAGTTTACTTCCCAAATCTATTCTAGCCCCTAATCCCGCTCCCTGTGCATACTACTCCCTAAATAAGCTCAACATCTTTCACCAGAACGATTAGAACAGTCTCCAGACCAGTCTCCCCTGTACTGCATAGTCCCCTTAAATCAGCCTCTAACCCCTACACCACTGAATGATCTATTGGAAATGCAGATCTGACCTCGTCAATCCCCAGCTTAAAAGCCTGCAGTGCTTATAGAATCAAATCAAAGCTCCCTTAGCACGGAGCATCATGCTAAGACCTCCTTAGCATCAGGTGCTATACAAACCGACCCCAAACCCCTTCCAAATTCACCTCCTCCAACTCCTCAATCACTGCTCAACAGGAAGACCCATGGGGCTTTCTCTGGTCATCTCCTTGCCTCTGCTCTTGCTCTTCCTTAGAGATCCTGCTCGGGAATCTTTTCCTTCAAAGAATCTTCCTGGAACCTTGGAACATGGCTGAGTGAATCTACTCTGGGCTCCAGTATACCTTGTATCTACATCTGTCTGGTATCTTACACCCCAGGAAAATTACATTACCTGTATGCCTGCCTCTTCCACTAAGCAAGGTTTTTATCTACTTCCTCCAAGTTTTTACTCAAATGTCTTCTCAATGAGACCATCCCTGCCTTCCCAGACTGCCTTATCTAGATTTTCAACTTATCACTGCCTCCCTACCCCCCGCCCCTCCTACCTCCCCCTCTACTGGTTTCTTTTTTCTCCTTATCACTTATCATTGTCTATTTTATGTGTGTATACATATACACACACACACAAAATGTTAGTGTATGTACATATGTTTTTAACTTATTATCTACTATTTCCACAACCAGGAATGTCAGCTCAATTATTTGTCTGTTTTATTACTGCTATATAAGAGGCACTCAAAAAATACTTGCTTAATGAGCAAATACCATCAAGATCAGAGATTGCAATGAATTCAACTTTGAGTCTACAGCATGTATCATAGTGTCTCCTGCAGAGTTAGTACACAGTAAATATTTGCATTTTAAAAGTGAAAATAAAAACTCACATACAACATATTCCACTTTTTGCCTCATACTCTTCTCCATTTGACAGACACAGAACAGAAAGAATTATGGCTGGACAGACCAGTCAGCTGACCAAAAGAAAGCAGAAATTTTAGAATATCATCATACCTGAATTATGGGCAGGCCATTGAAGAAATTTTTAGGCATCTTTTGTCTTTTGGAAATGAATAGTATTTTAAAAAGAAATTCATTATTTGTCATGAAGGTATAAAAGTTAAGAGCTTTTAATATCCATATTTTCAGCATTCATATTTGTTGACACTAGAACCATTAAAGCTCTGAAGGCAATTGAAGCAAATGAACCATTATGCTTCTTATTCTTTGAGGGAAGGAGGCTTTTATTTGATAATAAGTCATGGGCACATCCAATATTTATATTCATTTAAAAAATAAAATTAAGAATGTAAGGAAAATGATAAGACATGCATATGTTCTTGAAGTTTTAAACCAAATCTCACACATGTATGTAATTTCTGCTAAAACACAGATTTATGAACAATACTTAAAACTTTAAAAGAAATGTGAAACCATTTTTAAAAGTTTCCTTCTGATCAAAGATTAATATAGATGTTCTAATAAAAAAGTACACAGTGTCACTTTGTCCTTAAGACATAAACTGAACAAAATTGGCAGAAATTTAAAAATAAAAAGTCACATGACCAGAAAAATAGGCAGTATTTCTTTAAAATGACACAATATCTCATGAAGAACAAAGCAAACTTAGCTGAAAAATAAGCAGTGCTTTTTTGAGTATATTCAAAAAGAAAAGAATAGAACATCCAAAGAGAAACAAATGGATGGTTATGGCCTACAGAGGGAACCCAAGATTTGAAGATGTCAACTATTAAGATTCTTGAAGCAAAATTCTTAACACTCACCAGTGTAAATGACCTCGTATCATACATAGGACCATTTAAGACCATCTTGCAGTAAGTGCTGCAAGATGATGTTTTGATCAACCACTGACCTCATAATATATTACACTTGTCCCACAAAATTATATTTTTATTGTACCTTTTCTATGTTTAGATACACAAATATTTATCATTGTGTTACAATTGCCTACAGTATTCAGTACAGTCACATGCTGTGCAGGTTTTTAGCCTGAGAACCACAGGCTATACCATATAGCCTGGGTGTGTAGTAGGCTCTACCATCTAGGTTTGTGAAAGTACCTTCTATGATGTTTACACTTATGGAAGTGCCTAACAATGCATTTCTCAGAATATACCCATCATTAAGCAACCACATGACTATAACACTATTGAAAAGGGTTCTACATTTCATAATACATAAATACACTCTCCATTTACCAAGTTAGGGCAAGAATGACCCAAATCCCAAACCGTAACTCATCATAAGTGGCCAGAATCTCACCTGGATAATTTACATGTTTGAGTTTAAAACGTGCTCTGTGACATTGTGGTTAACCAGGGTTGGTGGGTCAACACAACACCCTGCCCTGTGTTTCTCTACGCCCCACACCTTACAAGTATATTTTTAAATCAACAACTCACAAACAAAATATCATGACTCAAATATAGCTGTAACTGTTGTAAAAGGAAAGAGAATAGAGAACAGAGTGAATAAAGTTCTCTCCTCTGCTAGGAGGAAAATTAATACCTTTTTTAATGAAGTAGGCCAGCATGAAATCACCCAGGTTTGCTTGGCAATAAAATGAGAATAATTCCAAGGAAAGTGGCAATTTTATATTTTATATCCTTGAATCAAACTTCTAAATATTTTCCTTGTTTTCCTTCAGGCCACCATCCCAGAAATACCCTGGCCATGTATTTGGCAAGAGGGGAGGGGGTGATAAGGAGGTGTCCCAGCAACTGCTTATGGGAGAATGTGCCTATTTGTAAATTTCACCATCACCAAAAAAAGTGTTTCTGTTACAAAAAAGAGACAAACTAAGAAGTCAGCTTCATAAAGTGTAACTTTCAATAAAAATGTCATTTGGTTTTAAGTAACTTGGTCTTTCCTCTTAAGTGATCTGGTTAAGTTAGAAAAATATTATGTAATAATCTCTAAATAGAAAATAAAAGGGAATCAATTTGAGATCACTCCTGGAAAAAGCACACAAGTGGTATCTCCAAAGATTCCCATTACCCTGGATTCACAAAGCCAAAACAAAAGGTCAAATTTTTCATGAGGGAAAAAGTGTTTCCTCTTAATATATCAAATTCTTCATATCTCTGTGTGATAGCAAAAATAAAATATTAGCATTTTTCTTATCAATAAGATTTAATCCCATTATTAAAAAATTCTAGAAGGAAGTTCTGTGAAAGGGCAAAGTCAGCAGTTCCATAGCTAAACCGTCTTTTAGCGCTTGTAGCTGCTTCTCGTGACATTTAATAAATCAGGCTTAATAGGAGAGCAAGAGTCAAGAATTTAAAATAGATCTCATTGTGTTTACGAAGAATCAACTGAATAACCAACAGAAATAAGAATCCTTTAGGACTTAGAAAAGGTCAACTAACATTGGACAAGGGCTTCTAAGAACTTACATCTCAAAATAACAGATTTCTGACTAAAAATGGTATCCCCATCTAACTTCCTGGTCCTGTTTCTCCCAATCTCTCAGTAAAGTGCCCCTAAAGAATTAGAAAAGAATGAATAGTCATATTACCTCCATAAACCAGGGCTGCTGAAAACCAAAACTATTTCACAGTGATGAAAAGGCAAAAATTACCCATGTTTCTTCACTTCATTAATAGGTTTTATTTTAAATCGTGGGAAGATGCTTCATAATTCTACCACAACCCTGATGCAGACACATCCCTTTCAACTAAATATTTGACAGCTGTCCCATTCTCCACCTGAGACTGTGATGAGAAGAAGAGGTCATGTCTCCCCAGATACCTCCCCGTCACTGTGCAACTGTGATCAGCTCCCTAACCAGTCATCTCCCGCCACTCAGAAATGGATTACAAATCCCAAAAAATTAGTTAGAAACTAAGCACAAAGAAGAGGCTGGACATAAAATTTTATGAGCTGTAGCCAGTATTTCTCACAGCAAAATCACAGCCTTAATTCACTCATTCATTTGACAAATATTACATTTCCTCAATGTGCTAGGCACTGCTCTTCATACTTGGGAAAACTTAGTGAAAAATAGAGACAAAGATCCCTGCCCTCTTGGAATTTACAATTTTAATGAGGAAGTGAGACAATAAATAAATATATAATTTGATAGACAATTAAAGATACTATGTAAAAAAGGAAAACTAAAGCCAGGTAAATGGGGTTGGGAGTTAAGAAGAAGGTCTACAGCTTCTAGGGTGGTTAAGCCCCATGGAAAAGATGACATTTGGTGAAGATTTAAAGGGGCTGAGGGCATTAGCCTCCTGGATATCTGGATGAAGAACTTCTAGACAGAGGCTTGAAACAGCCATGAGGCAACAGCATGTCTGGCATATCCAACAAACAAGGAAGCCACGTGGCTGGAGTGGACAGAGGGAGGGAAAAGTAGCAATTGGGAAGGTCTAAGGACAAGCAGGGACCAAGTCTTGTGTAAAGATTTTGGCTTTTACTCCGAGTGCAACACAGAGCAACTGTGGAGTGTTGAGCAGAAGACTGATCTGGCTGACACTTGGAGAAGTTCACTCCAGCTGCTCCATTGAGCACAGACCATGGGGAGCAGGGAGACCACTCCAGAGACCACAGCAATACTTGTGAATGAGAGATGACTGTGACAAGGAACAGGGCAGTAGCAGCGCAGAAGGTGAGAAGGGACCAGATTCTGGATATACTTGAAGGTAAGCTAAGAGAGCTGTCCAGTGACTTGGGTATGGAGTATAGAAGAATAAATAGTGAAGGATGATTTCAACATAGCCTGGGCAAGATGAAACAGGAATTTACTGGGAAGATCAGTGGAACAATACAGGGAGGCAGATGAGAAGTTCCATTCAGGATGCATTAAGATGGAGATACCTATTTAGTAGGCAACTGGATATGCTTGTCTGGAGTTTGGGAGACAGGTCAGGGCTAGAGGCATAAATTTGGGAGCCATGAATATACAGGTGGTAGCCATCGTACTGGATAAGACCACAAAGGATAGGGTAAAAACAGATCCGAGAGGAGGACTGAGACTACATTCTGATACTCTGACATTAAGAGGCCAGGGAGAAAAGGAAGAGCCAGCAAAGGAGAGTGAGAAGGAACAATCAGTGAGGCAGAAAGAAAACCAAGAGTGTGAGGTGTCCTGGAGACCAAATGAGGACCACACGTGACAAAAGAGTGAGCACTAACTATGTCATGTAAGACGAAGTCTGAGAACTGACCGTTGTAGTTCAATGACAAGTGGAGGTCGGTCATTGGAAACCTTGACAAGAGTAGTCTCTATGGAGTATGAGGACTGGGTTCAAGAGTGGGGGAAGATGGATTTGAGAGAGTGAAGTTATTTCTACCCTGAAATTTGACTGTACAAGGCAACAAAATTGTAGGCATCTGGCGGTAAAGGGAGGGCAAGAGAAGGTCAACGGAAGACACAGCTGTAACAGCACACTTGTGAGCAGACGTGCCTGACCCAGGATCTGCATGATGTGAGAGGCGGGGAGAACTGCTGGGAGGTTTCTTTTGAGGAGGCAAGAGGAGACAGGATAGGGGAACACATGAAGGGACTGTCTCTAGGTAGGAGCATGAATAGTTACCTAGGACAACAAGCAGGAAGACGGAGGATGGGGGTAGGAATGCTGGTAGTAGGGAAATGAGGCTGGGGATCTCTTCCGGCTGCTTCGATTTTCTCGCCAGTGTGGGAATCCAGTTCATCAGCTAAGGGCGAAGATGGAAGGAGAGATGTTTAAAGTTTGAGGAGAGAGAAAATGAGAAAAAGTCACCTTCACAAAAGGCAAAAAAAGGTTAAAAAGTCACCTTAAAAATTACTAAAGAAGATGAAATATTAAATTATTTCTCTCAACAAGCTGAAAAAACAACCGCTACCAAATAAACCTCAGGGAAACAAAAGGAATCGTTAAAAAGATAAAAGCAGAAATTAAAGGATTAGAATATAAACAGTAGAACAGCTGGTTCTTTGAAAAGATCAATAAAATATACAAACCTCTTGCAAAGCTCATCAAGAAGGAGAGAAAATACAATTACCCTGCATCGGAAATAAGAAAATGGATATAGCCAAAGAGACAAAGGAGATTTAATACAAGTATAAGGGTAGATATACAATTTATGCTGAAAGTTATGAAACACTGGATGAAAGAGATGATTCCTAAGAAAATATAAATTATCAAAATTGACTGAAGAGGTAGACTCTGAACAATTCAATAACTCTATGGAAATAGACAATGTTGACAATGATTTACAGAGGAACACTATCAATCTTTAACAAACAGACATTTTGTGCTATTGAAAATGTTACATGGTATAGAAAAATCAAGGAAAGCTTCCCATTTTCTAAAAGTCAGCATAACCTTAATATCAAAGCTTCAAAAAAAAAAATAGCACAAGAAATAGAAATCTACCTTATTTATAAATTTAAGTTAAAATTCTGACACAATTATCAAATCATATACAGTTATAATATGATCACATTTGTTAGATGCCAAAACTGTATTTGGAAAAAAAAAATTTAAATCATTCCTCATACAAATTTTAGTAAACTCACATCAAACAGTATCTATCACTAATCAACATCTGGGATCCTGTTTCACAATGAACTACCAAAGGCCTTCCCACTAACCTCAGAAACATAAGTACTCAATAAATGTTAGCTGCTATATTAGTATTACTATTATTACATTTAAACAGAACTATCTGTTCCTACCACCATACTGATATTTACTCTCTATAAAGGTAATCCCTCCCCGTCTTCAAGGGAGGCAATGGACCAACGACACAGACAACTTGCTTGAAAATCTGAGTGTAAATTCAGACAAGTTAATTACAAATCTTTC